TGCGGCGGGCACACAAACATGCAAAAACAACGTTACACGGACGGTATATGTAGAGGGAAGGCGACGGCGAGGAACGGAAACGGGTCCTGGTGGTGATACGTCGTGGGACCAGGCATGCATGCCCTCTTGCCGTCGCACGCCTTCTCCGCTCGATGGTGCAGTACGTACAGCACTGTAGATGTGGCCTGCCAGACAGTGCGCACCCCGCGTGTTTCACTACCTCCAATCTGGACCTGTCGCGCCACCACTGAAGAGGTCGAGAGATCAGCGGAGATAATGAGGAGGTAGCGTGCCGAACATGTACAGTACCTTTTAGGTCATGATAGCTGCTTCGCCGTCTGCCACCTCGAATGAGAATGATGATGCTTGCCTGTCAGGCGCAAAAAAGGATCGACAAGGGCAGGGTTCGAACCTACGCTCACGAATGAACAGCATAACTTAAATTGCGAGAATTCAAGTGCTGCGCCTTAACCACTCGGCCACCTTGCCTGATATTAACGGTGAATTTAAGCGGCTCGGAATCAATCTGTCATGCGACTGCGCTGGTGCGCCAGAACCAGCTGAGCCCGTGTCACGTGCTCGTCCGTTGCAACGGAGCGAGACGGTGCAATGGCGGTCCGTTTCAGATGTATGATGGGTGAGCGATCCAGGTGCCAGGTTGACTCAAGACATCAGCTTGGTTCTTGCCTGCCCTGCCGCGCCGCGCCAAGTATCCCTGCCTTCACGTCCTCTTCGCATGGCACGATGGCCATCACAGGCTCAATCGTGTCAGGGATGCGGGAGGGTACGTCGTGATCGGGGGTTCGTGCCAGGAGGTTTCTGACAAGCACGCATATGCCGAACCATGACTCGGGATGCTACGAAGCGGAATGTGATTACTGCTGTGGACTCTGCACCTGCACCTGCATCGAAAGGCGTCACACCCGCCGACTACGTCACGCCACCACCAGGCCATATCTACCCTGTTTCCTCTCCTGTCCAGCACCTCTCCTGCTGCTTGGACGCTTTGCCTCGACCCATTCTCCATCGACTGACCTTGGGTTGCTCCAGGTACGTCCCGTCGATGATGCCGCCGCCGATCCCGCCAGCCAGCCCGCCAATCC